GCAGAGCAGCAATTCTGTAAAAACGAGAGATAAAGAATGTTGCACGAGTTGTGTATATGTATGTGTTTAACGGAGAAGAAGAAGGAGGAGGAGGAGGAGGAGGAGGAGGAGGAGGAAGAGGAAGAGAGAAATCCGGCAAATCTAATACGATTTTTCATGGTACGAATTCTCCCGGAAAATTTTCTCTCACCCTCTGGCGATAAACCGTCAGCATAACTCGATCGAAGCTATTACTACGACCGACCTCCTTTTTTTTTCTCTTCCAACTTCTCACACACACATATATATTATATATATTATATATATATATATATATATATATATATAATATATATTATATCTGTTGAGTCAGGTTTTGCACGAGTTGTCCTTCCTTAATAATGTGTCCGCCTACTCGATGAAGAATGGAATTGTTTTTACTAAACTCGATAGAACTTAAATTCCACCTAATCAAACTTTTTCTCTTTTAATAGTGGACAACTGTTCATTCTCTAAAAGTGATAAGAAAATAAAAGAAATAAATAATAATAAAAGAATAAAAATAAATAAACAATTTAATGAATTTACGAGGACGAAAGTGAGCACACATCAAACACAACAGTTTATCTTGCGTGAGATTAATATCACTTGTAGTCATAAAAATAAATAGTAAAAATAAAAAAAGAAACAGAAATAAATAAAAAAAAAAAAAAAAAAAACAGAAAAAGAAAAGGGAGAAAGAGAGAGAGAGAGAGAGAGGGAGAAAATTGTATACAAAATAATACGTATAAAAGTTTTCCTAGAAACGATATTAGACCGATATTGAATATAACAAAAAGCAGTAAAATAACAAACATGAATTACAAATGTATTGTACAAAAAAATATTTGGCGTTTCGAAAAAATTGAGAGGGTACTAGCTACTATATAATAATGGTTATAACCGATTATCAGATGCGATAAAAATTGACGAATGGCGATCGAACGAAGATAACCGACAGCTTGAAAATAGTGATGGATAGACTTGGACAGAGATATTAACAGAACAGATGCCCTGACCCCGACACACTCCCACTGCTTCTATGCTCGCCAAAATAAACAACCTCGGTGGTGTTAACGACGGCGAAATCGATGCCGAAATTTATGAGTTAACTGATTCGTTCGTTGGTTGGTTAGCTAGCTAACAAGCAAGCTGGCAAGCAAGCAAGTAAGTAAGCTAGCTAGCTAGGCTAGCTTGGTTAGACCATCGAGCGTGGTACAATGGATAAACGTGATGCCGTGACAGGAGCCAATAAGACATTCGTGGATATTCGAGCACAAGTAAGGGGCAAAAAGCAACCCTTACTCAAGAAACAACAACCCTTTTTCGTTGGCCATTCCTATTCTTCGACATATGTGTCTACGTTTAATATCACGATCGAATTAAGCGAATAAGGAATTAATTTTTAATCCATGATACCTGACCGTTACTATAATTCTTGACCAGGTCAATATTTTTCCTGATTTTCCGAATTTTTGGTAAAGAAAATAATGGAATTTTCTTTTTTTTTTTTTTTTTTTTTTTCTTTCTTTGCGTACAATTATATCGTTACATTGTATATTACTATAGTAATTCGATAAACACTGATAATTCTATTGAAATTATAAAACCAGGAAAAAAATTTATTTTACTTTTATTTTGATTTTATTTTGATTTTAATATTATTAATTTAATATTACGAAATACGTGATTAAATCTTTATATTTCATTTTTCTTTTTTTTTTTTTTTATCGATCTTAGATCATAAAAAAAATTTGAATAAAAGAAAGAAAATATGGATCGTGGTTGTCTCAAATCACACGTGAAAATATAATATTAAATATATAAAATATATAACAACAAAAAAATATATATATATATATATTTCAAAATTAAAATATAAAACTAATAAATGTGTGATCAAAGCTAATCTAATTTTACGAACATATTAAAAATAAATTTTATCCGATAAATATCCCGATATCGCGATAAATGCCTATACGATAATCGCGTTAAAATTTGAACGAAAATGGAGAAAATAAATCGATAAAAAAAAGAAAAAAAAAAAAAAATAAGAAAAAAATAAGAAAAAAAAAGAAAGAAAAAAGGAAAAATATATCGATCGTTGTTATAATGGATCACGTGACGATTTTCTATGGCACGCGAGTTTAACATGAACAACGGCGTGTACGAAACACGACGTTCGCGTTTTCTGATTACGGTCAAGTGCGAATGTCACGGGTTCAACCTTCGCGTGGCATTATTACAAAATTGCCCTCGAAAAGGTCCGAAGTCGTTGGTATACTGTTGCTATTGCTAGCTAGCCACTGCCAGAATGGATAATAGAAGTGAAGGAGAGGGTTAAGGTAAGGTAAGGTAAGGTAAAGTAAGGTGGTGGTGGTAGTAGTTTATATGTGGGGGTAGAGGGTGAAGGGTTGCTTGGTTAATGGACGATGGTGCAGTCGGAGAACTTTACTTTCCGTGGCATCGTTTCGAACCGTTAGCAATACGAGCTATATATATATATACACATATATATATATATATATATCTGTATGTGTATGTGTACGTATGTATATATGTATGTGCGTAGACCGTTATCGCGACCGCCATCAACGCTCCCTTTTCCTGGCTGGCCCTTCTGCCGACCAACGTTGTACACTTTTTTCTCTTTCCTCTCTTACAAAATCAATAACGAGAGGTGCATTTCGCCGAAGGCGTTGATAAACGAAATTCTACGATCGGATCGATCGACACTAACAGAGGATATATTTTTCAATTTATATAAAACATTAAATTCGATAATACGATGTCATAATTAAAATGGAATATTTGTAAAACGCGTTAAACATGTCTACGAAAAGGAAGCTTTCGTTGATGATATATGACTCTATCAAAATCGATTTTATATCTCTCGAACGTTTCGAAGGATTAAATACTTCTCGATAAGAGTGAAGTTTATTTAATGTAAAAAAAAAAAAAAAAAAGAAAGGATGTATGACGATAAAAATTCTCATCTGCATGTTTTTTTTTCTCTCTTTTGTTTTTTTTTTCTTTTTTTTTTTTCTTGTTATTTTTTTTTTTTCTACGAAATATCGTGAAACTTATGCATTTAGCAGATTATTTATTATTATTTAAATATCTATATCAATTATTGGAAAATCTATCTATACTAATTTTTCTTTCACGAGATAATAATAATAATAATAATAATAATAATAATAATAATAATAATAATAATAATAATAATAATAATAATAATAATAATAATAATAATTAAGAGAGCAAAGTATTCTCTTATAAGTATGCTAATTCGTCATACATACACTTTTTACATATCCCTCCTCCCCACTCCAAACAAACAAAAAATATTAACATATCAAGCATGATTGAAACTTCATTTTACAAAAAAAAAGTTTTAATCTTGAATTAACTTTCTACGATATATGACCTATATATGTATTGTAAGAAAGACAAATAAAAAAGAGCAATTACCACGAGAGGGATCCTGCAAAGTGAGGATCGATCGATCATTGAAATTGAAAGGAATCCTGATTGTTACGGATAATCCGATTTTCCGGATGCGGGATATACTCGGAAAACACGACGCATCTGCTGTTGTCGTCCTCCAAATTATCGGCTTGAAGAGATTAACCCTATCGACATGTTGACAGGAAGAGAGAGTCCCATTCGTTGCAGTTTGCAATTATGAATCACGAGATGACGTTTGTGCAATCTGTGTTGACTCTATTTCTTTTTATTTTCTTTACAAATCCTTTCTTAATTTCTAATTATTTCATTCTATTGATCTCGTCGATCGTATACGTGAATGTTCTTTTATGTTTTTTTTTTTTTTTGTTAAAGATTAACATTCCCGTAAACGCGTTTGCTTTTATAAAAATTTATTAGCAATAACAATGATAATAATAATAATAATAATAATAATAATAATAATAATAATAATAATAATAATAATAATAATAATAATAATTTACGAAATAATAAATTGCCATAAAGTGGGCTGATCTAGATATCTCTTTTCTCTCTCTCTTTCTCTCTCTCCTTTTCTCCCTTTCTCTCTCTCTCTCTTTCTATCTTTGTCGATTTAACAAGACAATTTTTTTCAGAGAACAATAACAATGAAATGTCACGCAATGAAATGTCATAAAGCGTTTATAGTAACGGTTTATCGATGACATTATTCTTACATATGATATACATATATATACATATAAAAATATGTGTGCGTGATATACGATATATATTATATGATATTTCTAAATCCGATTAAAGAGAAAGAATTTATAGGAAAATATGATGAACCTAACAGTTTATAGGATATATTGAGACGATAATAAAGTTTCTCTCTACAATAAACAAGCTGAGAGTTTAATCAAAGATAAATCGAATTCTTCGTCAAGGTTACTACGCCTTTTACGACTTTGGATATAACGAAAGATAAAAGGAGGGACAAACTTACAAGGAGGGGGAGGAGTGGGTTGAGGGGGTTGGTTCAAAGTTGCAATACAAATACTGATTTTGCATACAATGCTTGACGTGAGAATCGTTTAATCATGCATCTAGCACGGTTCTCGTTAATATCGATCGATAAACGAGGAATACTTCGATAATAAACTTACATATGTATATATATGTATATATATATATATATATACATATATATATATATATACACATGTGTATATGCACTTTATGTATATATGTATATATATACATATATATATATATATATACATACAAGTGTTTCTTGTCTTATTTCGACGTTGAGTTTGACGAGTTGTACAAAGAGATTCTTCCTCGAAAAACATTTTCGAAAAAAAAAGAAAAAATAAATACAGAAGGAGAACTCCATGGAACGCTCTAATCATATATGATAATTTTCAAGATTAGATTTCCCTATCCATATTTTTCTTTTCTCTTTCTCTCTCTCTCTCTCTCCTTTTCGTTTTTTTTCCTTATTCCTTTTTTTTTTTTTTTCTTACCTGAAGAAGTCGATATCCTCCTTAATAACAGAGTCCAAGAAAAAATAAGAAGAAACGTGAAAAATCGCTTAACTGGATCTTTCATGACTGACTGACTTCTGTCACACACTTTTTAAATCGAACGATCACGATAATCACTTGGTTGTTGTTTTTGTTGTTGTCGCCTGTTATTATCGTTGTTGTTATTATCAAAAATGTACTTTTATCACCTCTGAAGTCTCACGTTGCATCCTTCCTTTGATCTAATTAAATATAAATTTCAAATATAAAAAGAAGAAGAAGAAGAACTGAAGGAGGAAGAAAATTTTCGTCATGTTATTCCTATTTTGAATATAAATTAAAAGAACCAAAATATATATATATATATATATATATATATATATATATATATATCTATTTATATATCTTTACGGAGGTATCGTAAAATGTACAAGGATCGTAAACGGCAACTGTGTTATATAGGTATGTATATTATAGGTACATACGATGGCGTGTAAAGAGATCATCGCGTGAAGTGTCGTAACATTGAAAAGTATCTCTTTTCTTTAATGGAATAGTTTTCTCTTTTTTTTTTTTTTAACATTTTTCTTTCTTTTCCTTTTCATTGTTTATTTTTATTTTATTTATTTTTTTTTTCTTTTTTCATACCCCGTGAGAAAGAAAATATTTTTAGGCAAAGAAAATAAAGAAAAAAGTGTAAAAGATTAGGATTCAGATCGTACCCGATGAATGTCGTGATAAGCGATATTGAATAGAAAGAGATAGATAGATATATATGTGTATATATATATATATATAAAGAGAGAGAGAGAGAGACAGAAAGTGTAAATACAAAGATTAGAAAAAAAGCTATCTTACGATAATAATTTTCGTAAAACGTTAAAAAGGACGTTCGAGAATTAAATAATATATATTGTTTCTAATCGAAATTGAATTCAATCAAAAACATATAACATATATATATATATCACATTTTTCTCGAAAAATTAGATTTTCGACAAAGCTATCGATCTCCTTCTTTATCGCTTTCAAATCTATCGGTAATGTTTTGAAAAAAAAAAAAAATCACATTCATGATATTGTCACGATTCTATATGAGACATATAAAAAGCAATGTATTTAACTAGAATCGACAACACCATTGACAAAGTTAATAGATAAATCATGTTAAGCTTATTCATTAAATTTTCACGATAAATAGAAAAGGGAGGGATCACTTTCAATGAATTTCTTATATTACCTCGTCGACACTATCTCACTTATTTTTTCCTCTATTCCTTTATCTTTTTTCTTTTTTATTTTTTTTCTTTTTTATTTTTTTTTATTTTTTTTTTATTACTAACGATCGATCAATGTTATTCTTCTTCTCCTTTCTTTTTTACACTTTTTTATTAATAATCAATCGATCGACGTGAATTTTAAGTACTAAATATTGTCCGATTTTGAAGACACTGGCAAATCGTCGTTTCATTTTCCTTTGTCTTTCTCTCTTTCTCTCTCTCTCTCTCTCTCTCTCTCTATTTCTCTTTTTCTCTCTCTCTCTCTCTCTCGTTCTATCCTTTCGACGAAAAACGCTTGACGATCAAAGAAGAAGGAAAAAAAAAAAGAAAAGAGAGAGAGAGAAAAAAAGGACAAACAAACAAAACCAAAGAATCTCGAAATATTACGTTAATAAGAGATGGATAAAAAAAAAGAGAAAGGAGGATCGACGTATATAGCAAGACGTAAAAATTGTCGCGGCTTTGACGGCGTCACAGCCGATACTGAACGACGTCGAGACGCCCGCCGTTATCAGAGGAAATTTTTCGGCGCGTGCGCGTCAACACGCGTGCGCCCTAAAGGAATCGTGCACAGGGAATATATCCCCCTATGGCTGCTCTGGGAATAGGCGCGACCCCTCTTTTACACGTCGTTCCACGCGGGCCACGTTCTAATTATTGCGAGCCACAACCAGTTTTGGCCCGTCGAGGATATACATCTAATGAAACCAAAGAGCTTTCTTCGATCCTTGGAAAAAAAATGTATGTATATATATATATATATATATGCTGATATATTTCTAAAAAAAAAAAAACATTAAAAAAATCTTATCACAATGTAGATTTGTCGTTGAAAGGATACGATTTTTATAAATTATTTTATTTATTTTTTACTTTTTTTTTTTTTTTTTTTTTTTATTACATCGTATTAATTATCTTTCTGAAAAAATGATGGAAAAAAAAATCTTATTGCAATGTCGATTTGTTGTTAAAACGATGTGATTCTTATGAATTATTATTATTATTATTATTATTATTATTATTATTATTATTATTTTAATTATATCGTATTAAAATAATATTAATATTGCGTTAATAACGTATCAATTAAAATTATTATTAAAATAATAATGTATAATATCTCATTGACGTCTTATGATTAAAACAAAAAGTTAATTAATTAAAATTTCGTTCAATTTTAATGAATGTTATCAAAACAAATATATATTATATCGCGTATAATAATCGCAATTAATATCTTTTACTTTTAATTGTTTTTGGCACGTATCGTCTCGACCAATTTGTGTTTGGTTTTAATTCAATGAACGAAATTAAAGGAAAGTTTTGCTGGTTAGGTTTAGGAAAGTTCTTCGGAGTTACGGTACGAATCGATCTGGTTTTCTCACCTTTGACCTGTAGCCGACAGGTGGTATTCAATTTCAAGTCGATAACACTACCTACCACCATCCTTTATTCTAATTTGATTAACACATCGATCTGTAAACGAATCTTCTTCTTCTTTTATTCTTCTTCTTTTTCTATCCTCAACACGAAGAAAATATTTCTTTCCATCCCCTATATATATATATATATATATATATATATATATTATTTTTATTTCTTATTTTCTTTAGAAACATAGTAAATGTGAAGAGATGGAGTGGAGGATAGGGAAGTTAGAAGCTTACTCTCACATGACATCGTTTGATTTAAGGGCTTAGTAGTCCTACGCTTTTCCAGCTTTGCGTTCTTTTCACATGGCACTCGCTACGTACTCTGTCATTTATGATTTAGAAGGGCTTTCAACTGATCGACAAGAATGCATTTGACGAAGTGTTTTCACCACCTGCTTTTCTTGTATATTTTCTTGTATAAGGGTGGTCGAATATATTTTCTATAAATCTACGATAAAACTTTCTGAACTTCTCGTAAAAATAAATAAATTGCATGTATATATATATATATATATATATATATATATATATATATATATATATGTACATTGACAAAATAAAATAATGTTCATTCTGAATAGAAAAAATTTGTGATTAAAAGTAACATTTGTCGGAAAATCGATTTATCTATGTATCTATAATTTATATTTACTTTTACAAACAAATCTTAAGAGAAATGATAAATTTAGAAACGTTTCTTCGATATGTCTAAGCGGGTACATATCGTTAACATTATAAATTCAATCAAATGATGAAGAAAAGTTAATTAATATAATTAATATATATCGAATCAACGAATATGAATACACTTCTAATGAGCCAAATGTGAATCGTTCCGATAATAAATATCGTTAGGTAGGTAAGTAGGTAAAGATACTTTTGTGAGTTGAAGACATTGTAATGATGCATTCGATTCACGAAGAAAATAAGATAATGACCAGCTGGATAGCTGATTGGTTCTTTAGAGCAAAATAGTTAGCTTATTATTCCTCTCCTCCCCTTCTACTCGTTACAACGAAACGGTTGAAAGATTAGGGTAGACCAATTCTTGTAATCCTCTTAACGCATAATGCCTGTTTCCACGTGCAAGACACGTATTATTTATTACTATTTATTTTTATCTTTGCATTATTAGAAAATAATTTATAATATCTGATCGATATAATTATAATTAATCAAAAAAGAAAAAGAAAAAAATTTTTTTTCTTTTTTTTATTTGTACATTTGAAAATATAATAATTCTATTGGGTATATTTCAAAATAAAATAAATTTTATTACATACATTTTAAAAATCAAATAATATCATTAATACCATAAAATTTATACAAAGTCTAAAAGTAACTTACTTTTTTCGTCATTCTTTTCTTTTCCTTTTCTTGTCATATTTTTTCTTTTTTTTTTTTTTTTTTTTTTTTCTTTTTTTTTCATTGTCCCTTTCGCATTGTATAAAGGTTTTCAACGCGAAGATGCTATCATCTTACAATTCCTTTCGTACGGCGAACAACGAAACGCGATATCTTTAGAAAAGAAGTCCGACGGTAACATTGTCCGACTATATATACGTACATACATATACATGTACCGACAATGAGTCGAGACAATGGAACCCTTGACGGCAGCGATTAGGTATGGACAATCGATTAGTTTAGAGAATATTCCTAACTAAATTTTTCTATTTTTCTATTTTTTTTTTTTTTTTTTTTTTTTTTAGAAATTTCAACGAATTTCATAATAATGCTTTATGTAATAAATAAAATTCTTAATGCAAATAAACGAATACAATACAAGATCGTATAACAATTATATCGAGGGAAGAAAAAAAAAAAAAAAAAAAAAGCAAACAATAAGAATGAATTTACTTACTACCCTCGTTGTCTACACTCCGCTCGCAAAATGTATTTCTATCTATCATAGAATCATAGTGATAAATTGCGGACTGGCCCTCGCGTGAAATTTCGTTTTACCTGCAGTCTACTCGTTACGGGGTGGCAAATTTATTTGTTGTCACTGGACACCCTCTGTAACGTCCCCAATCACGCAATGTTAAGAATAACGCGTCAGAACGATTCACTAGGATGAAACTCATGTCTTTTGAAGTCTATGACCTAAACTTATGAAGAATAAATGGTATGTCTTTATCTTTTCGTAAGTAACTTAATTACACTTTTATCTTTACGAGAGAAAATAAAGAACTTTTCTAATACCATTAAAAAGACATGTTAATCAAAACTATATCGAGAAGGACTTAAAGATATTCTAAAGATAAGATAAATTCAGCGAGTTATTTTTCTTTTCTCTTTATCGTTAAAACAAAATTATTCTAATTTAGATATAATTATTAATATAAAAAAAATACATATATATATATATATAAATATAAAAAATAATATATCATTATAACAAAAGCATATATAAATATAAAAAAATAAAAAAATATCTTTTAAACATAATTGTAATAAAACGAATATTATATTTTTTGTCTCGAAAAAAAAGTATATATATATATATATATATATATATATATATAGCCTGCAATAATAAAAGATCTTCTTAAAAAGTTTCCATTTCTTCACGAGGTATGATAACGTAATCATTCAAACAACTTGCTTAATCATTCCGATCATTAAGATCCCTTAACAAGATTATAGTCATCGTCTGATAAAAAAAATTTCAAAAAGACAATGTACACTAGTCATGTCCCTTCGTTCCTTTGGTAAAACCCTTAGAGTTTATTCTCCCTCGTCTTCTTGGTTAATCCCTTGAAATACAACTCCCCATCCTCCATCCCGAGAAAGTAACATTTCGTCTAAGAAAATATACTTCCTTCATCCCCCTTTGCAACGATAATGGCACGTCGACGTTGGTCCCTTCTACGTATGCGAGGGGTGCATTTCAATTGAGATTCTATTTCGCGAACGTCCAAAGTCCGAATAAAAGTTCGTTGAACGAAGCTATCTTAATGGCTAAAGACAACGAGAAATTCGCCCTAGCGTATATGTCCTTGAAGAGCAATCATTCATCCATTAAGGTCATCAGTGCCGTTTCTCTTTTGTCTTCTTCCATCGTATCTCCCAGTCACGTATTCTTCCTTTTTGTTTTCCAGGAATTTAAGGGAGAACTAACTACGATGGTTCGCGCGTTTGTTTTCACAATCCTTTCAAAATGATAAATGTTAGAGAACGTGTAGAAAGCTACGTAACTATAGTTAGGCTATAGTTTGGATTTGAAAATTAATCGATTTCTCTTTTTTTTTCATAAGAACAAAAAATGTACGTTTTTGAGCCAGAACATAAAATAATTTTTATTTTATTTTTTTTATTAATTTAAGAAATTTTAATCGAAGAAATGCTCTCTCTCTCTCTCTCTGTTCGTCAGATTTTTTTTATCAAATTTAATATTTTTTTCTTCTTTTTTTTTTCCTTTGGAGATAACCAGAGGAAATATTGCGTATTGAAGAACATTAATCTCTTCTTAATCCTTAAAGTGGAAGATGTAAATAGTGAGAATTTTCGAATATCTTTTAGATAAAAAGAGGTTAAACAAATCCTACGATTTTTTTTTCCAGATGAAATATTTGTCTCGTGTTTATCTTTTTCTCTTCTTCTTTTTTTTTTTTACATTTTTTTTTTTTGCAAATAATTTCCCCAAGAGTTAAAAATGAAACAATTAGTTCTTATGTCATTTTTCTTCAAACGAAAAAGTAAAAATATTTAAATCGACAAATGGAACATTTTAACACCTGTATAATCTTATTACATAATAAATTTTGTAATGTAATGTAATTTTTTACCATACGAAATTTACATGTTATCATGATAGAATTTCTTAAAAAGGTCACGGAGCTATTTAAAAGTGAAATAAAAAAGAAATCGATGTTGTCTGGCTAAACAAAACTATTTTAGGATATTCTCAGATGTTCTTCTATTCATGACAATGTCTCCTAAAAGATGTTAGTTTGATCTTCGTCGAATGGGGAACATTGGTGAGTCAGAGACGTAGAATCATCCCCTTGAGATTTCATGGTTATGTAC